TGTACGTTCACAGGACCTACAGGCCCAGCTGGAGGAGGAGGTGCGGGCCCACGAGCAGCAGCAGGAGGAGCAGGCAGCGCTGGAGAGACGGGTCACAGTGCTGCTGGGCGAGGCGGAGGAGACGCGCGCCGCCTTGGACAGTTCTGAGAGAAACCGCAAGACTCTGGAGAACCAGGTCCAAGAGGCCAACGACAAATGCAGCCACCTCAGCACCCAGGTCAGCCCCCTAGTGGACACCCGAGGGACTTCAACACAACAACGCAGCGCAGACTGAGAGATGACAGGAGCAACAGGAGGGCAGGAGCAGTGTGGGAGGGTGGACTGGCAGGTGCAGGATGCCAGGAGCAGAAATTGAGGACAGACTGGCAGGTGCAGGACGCCAGGAGCAGGACAGGAGGACAGACTGGCAGGTGCAGGACGCCAGGAGCAGCAAAGAAGGACAGACTGGCGGGTGTCAAAGTCAAAAGTACTTTGAATACAGGGCTACTTTTGCTTGCATAGGAGTAATATTTGAGCAGGTGTATTTATACTTCTACTCAGGTACTGATACATAGTTTATATACTTTGGGCACCTCTGGTTTACTGTGACTTTGCCGTTATACTGCTCATGTGAAATCACAGTAGTCAAGTGTATTCTCATAGACACTGAAGTGCGTTCTGTTTGTCACCGGTGCAGCTCCAGAATGCCCTGAGCGTGCGGAGGAAGCTGGAGGTGGACGTCCAGACTTTGCAGCAGGAGCACGAGGAGGTCCAGGCTGAGCTGCGGGGGTCAACGGAGAAGACCAAGAAAGCTCACGCTGAGGTACAGACACGACACAACACAACACGACACGACCACAGTTTAACATCGTACACACTTACTACTAACACCTAACACTTTAAAAGGAAACATACGGAAGGAACAGTAAGAACCATAAGATTTAGATTTTTTATTCCATAAACATAACCTATTTATGTAACCACACTGAAAAAAATACAATAAAAATAAAGTAATAATAATAATAATAATAATAATAAAATATGGTCATAATTAATTGCATTGCTGTGATGAAATAATGAAGCAAATATATGTCTAATATTTATATTATAAATAGTCACATTTTCATACAGGGCTTTTCCACCTTTGAGGCTCAAAGTGCTTTACATCATCACCCCAGCCTCAAATGAGTAGCTTTTATTTGTTCATTTTTTGTTTGATACCTGAGTAGCACCCACAAACAAACCACAAGCACCCACAGACTATAGAGACCAAAGTAGCACCCACAAGAACCCACAAACTAGAGGCCAAGATAGCACCCACAGGCACCCACAGACTAGAGACCAGTCTGACTAGAGAGTAGCACCCATAAGAATCCACAAGTATCCACAAAATAGACGCCAAAGTAGCACCCACATGCAACCACAAGAACCCACATAACAGAGGTAAAGGTAACACCCGCAGGCACCCAGGGGAGACTCCAAGTACTGTGTCTGTTGATGCAAGTATAAGTGAAACATTGTAGTTCAGAAATACAAAAAATAACAGCAATGCAATTAATAACGACAATGCAAGTAATATATATTTTATTTAATTTATTTACACAAATATGACTTCTAACTTTTCAAAAATTGAGTAACAGTTACTCAGTAATTTCATGACTGTTAATCATGGATGTAAGTACATTTTACTTAAAACTGACATTCTCCCTGATAATCCAGCAGTAGAGTTTAATTAAAAAGTGCCTAGTCTAGTAAATCTTACAAGTTTTTTTTTTTTCTGTGCAGATGGAAATAAAGCTTTTACTGATAACAATTGTAATGCTAATGTACTCTTCTATACAAAAACATTGGGCAGACAAATTGTTTATGTTCTATTTTGTTGTTTTCATTCTCAAGATGATTAAACTTTCCTATCAGAAAGCACAATGAGCCTCACATTTGTGTTTCCAGTTTCAGTTCTGAAATTCAGTGTGTTTAAACCTAAAATGTCTCTCTCTGATCTGAATGGTCACTATGTAAACTCCAGCTCCTGCAGCATCATGGGTCAGTGCTAGTGCAGCCTTTGCAGCTCAGGGAGGGAATTCTGGAGGTTGTGAGCTTTCACGTGAGGCCTGTTCTGTCCATAAGCTGAGAATGAGACAAAAAGTTAAGGCACTGGCAACTCAGGTTCAGGTGTGATTGCTTTACCTGTAAAACTGTACAACTGTGCAGTTGCAAATATGAAAAGTCAAATTTGTGTTTGTTTAATGTATAAAATAAAGGATTTGTCTCTGTTGTTGTCGTCAGCTGTCCAGAGTGAGTGAGGAGCTGCGTGTGGAGCAGGAGCACTCTCTGCATCTGGAGAGGGTGAAGAAGAGTCTGGAGGCCCAGATCAAAGACCTGACCACACGGCTGGACGAAGCTGAGCAGAGCGCTTTCAAGGGGGGCAAGAAGCTCACCCATAAACTGGAGGCCAAGGTAGCACCCGCAAGCACCCACAAACACTCACAAACTAGATGCCAAGGTAGCACCCACACGCAGCCACAAGCACCCACAGACTAGAGACCAAAGTAGCACCCACAGGAACCCAGAAGCACCCAGAAACTAGAGACCAAAGTAGCACCCACAGGAACCCAGAAGCACCCAGAAACTAGAGACCAAAGTAGCACCCACAGGAACCCAGAAGCACCCAGAAACTAGAGACCAAAGTAGCACCCACAGGAACCCACACACTATACACCAAGGTAGCTCCCACAATCAGCCACAGACTAGAGGTCAAAGTAGCACCCACAAGCAACAACAAGCACCCATAGACTAGAGGCAAGGTAGCACCTACAAGCACCCACAAACTAGTGGCCAAGGTAGCACCCACAAGCACCCAGGAGAGACTTATGCAAGTACAAGTGAAACATTGTAGTTCAGAAATACTTTTTATAAATCCTTGTGGTACTGCTCTTGTGATCCCGTGCAGATAAAGGAGCTGGAGGCGGAGCTGGAGGCGGAGCAAGCCCGTCACTCTGACACGGTGAAGAGTCTGAGAAAGAACGAGAGGCGCCTCAAAGAGCTGCTGTTCCAGAGCGAGGAGGACCACAAGAACCAGGCCCGACTGCAGGAGCTGGTGGAGAGGCTGCAGAGCAAGATGAAGGCCTACAAGAGACAAGTGGAGGAGGCCGTACGTACTCACCATGAGACCAGACACCATGTCCACGAGATTTTCATTGACCCTCTGAAGTTGTGTCTAGAGTGATTCGTGCCTGTTTGAGCCATATTTATTCTTGTGTATTCAAGACGTTATTGGGCCTCATTCATGAATCTTTTCTTAAACACTGTTCATATCTCCCACTTTCAGAAGATGCTGAGAGACTCTGTGCCAGATTCACAAAACATTTTTAAGCATTCCTTCTTAAGTGACAGTTGTCCTAAATTCACCAACCACCAGCTACGAACAAGTCCACGCTAATTTACAATTAATTTACATAGAAAATGTATATGTATTTGGGTAGAAACGCTCTCTGAACTTCAAAATGTGGCCAATATGGGTTTGGTATTAATGAGGCATGAAAGTGTGAAGGAAAGAGTGACCGAGGAAGTCAGGTGGAGCGTCTACAGCTGTTTTACAATTTTAGTGGTAATTTCAAATGTCCAAAGTCACATAAAAACAAACTCACAGAGGAAAGATTTAAGACAGAAACTTAAGCAGAAACTTAGACAGAAAATAAGGGGGTCAAATAAGGTTTTGTTGTATTTATTGCACTTTCTGTGATCACAGACCTGCGGTAAATAGCCAGGGAGGGGGGCAGGGGTGGGGGTGCATAAGAGTGCACTCTGGTCATGGGGGGTGAGGGAGGTGATGTTGGTGTTGAGTCCAGTGCGGTGACCAGGTGCAGGGCTGTGACAGAGGCCCATGTGGAGGCATTGGGGCTGGGACAGACTGAGGCTCACTGCAGCCTGAAGAAAGTTAGACCCAACAGACACAGACTCTAGAAAACTCCTCATACATGTTATTGGGTCACACAGTCATATGTAGGGCTGCGCAGGGCAAACAGTGTTGCCCTGATGGCTTTTTATTTTGTACTTTTTGAGTGCCTCAGTTTTTTTCTACTTTGTATTTGAGACCGTTCCCTACACTGAAGAACACCAAAAGCACAAGTCTTCAGTTTTTGTTCATCCAAGTAGCACTCCTGCCCCCAAAGTTTGGCAAATGTTCATATAATTTCATATTGTCACTTAAAGCTTTTGTCACTTTAGACTTACTCATGTTGGGAAGTACAACCTTTACTCAAGTAAGACTGTAAGATTACTGTTACTTCATCAAAAATATGACTCAAGCAGGAGTAAAAATATGCTGCTTAAAATGTACTCTGAAAAGTACAATTTATTTTAAAGGTTACTAAGTTAAGTGTAACTGAGTATTATCCACCTCTGGGAGTATACAGTAAATAATGTAACCAAATACATTCTGAACAACTATGATGCTTTCAGAAGAGCAGACCCGAGCAGGACTCAGTATGTGCTTTCGTTTTTGCTCGTGTGCAGGAGGAGCAGGCCAACATGAACCTGACCAAGTACAGGAAGATGGTGCACGAGCTGGACAACGCAGAGGAGCGCGCCGACATCGCAGAGTCCACCCTCACCAAGATCAGAACCAAGCGCCGAGGCAGCTTCAGCAAAGGATACTCCTCAGTAAGTCCTAAGGCGTACAAAAGATCTCAGACATGTAGTACCGCCAATGTCCACCTGAGGTCTCCATTCACTGTACGATGACAGTGAAACGATTGTTCTGATTTAAATTGCATTGTGTAACTTTTCTGGTGGTGATGTTGTTGGTTTGTCCTGGATGTTTCACAGTCTGGCTTTAAACCTTTCTATCTTCATGAAGGCCAAACCAGACCAAGTTACTAGTCAGATCTATGGACAGGTAACCCCGCTCACAGTCAGAATGCCTGTTTTTAATTCTAAAGTAGTTTCCTCATTAAACATAAAATCTGTTCACATTTTGGAGTAATCCTACATAGGGCTGGGTATTAAAAAATTGCCAATATGATACATACTTCAATAAACAGACCACAATATGATACATATTTCGATACCGTGCACTTTCCATTCAGTATATTTCAAATTGATTTGTTGCAGTTCAATAAAAAAAATAATGGCTACATTGTGGTTGTGACACTAAAAGTCTTTGTTAAACCACTTCCTGTGCAAAGTTCATATGAAACATTTTAATCATCAAAACAGTGAAAATGTCAAATGCGTAGAAACGAGTTTCCTTCCTCTGAACAAGCTTCAAAACTGTAGTGCTGTGACAAAATAATTCAGTAAAATAAACCAAAAAATATTCTTGGCGATATATATCGATACAGCAGCCCACAATATAGATAGTGTATGATCACATTAAAGGATACGATATATAAATATTTTAATATTTTTGCTTAGCCCTAATCCTACATATTTAGAGTAGAGTTGAGTAAAGGAAGCCAAAAATGCGCAGTTACTTCAAAATAATATACTAATACTATAGTTATAGTACAAAGAAGTAGTCCAACAAATGTCTTGGATCGGGGGAAGCTACTCATGAGTTAAGTTATTATAACTGGACATGATGGACAAATGGACAGAAGATGAAATCATGCATCAAATCTGGTAGAAGAAACTATTAATAAATTAATAATTTATAATATTAATGAATCCAAACATGAATGTGAAGTCATATTTGCAGGAACCGTGAAAATCATTTTTATACTGTCAACATAAAACGTTTGTCACTTTTACACTTACTTTTACTCAACTAAGAGTACTGAGTATATTACTCAAGTAAAAGTACTGTTACACTGCACAGTAGATTACTCAAGTAAAAGTACTGTTACACTGTACAGTAGATTACTCAAGTAAGAGTATTGTTACAGGGTACAGTATATTACTCAAGTAAAAGTACTGTTACACTGTACAGTAGATTACTCAAGTAAAAGTACTGTTACACTGTACAGTATATTACTCAAGAAAGAATATTGTTACAGGGTACAGTATATTACTCAAGTAAAAGTACTGTTACACTGTACAGTATATTACTCAAGTAAGAATATTGTTACAGGGTACAGTATATTACTCAAGTAAAAGTACTGTTACACTGTACAGTATATTACTCAAGTAAGAATATTGTTACAGGGTACAGTATATTACTCAAGTAAAAGTACTGTTACACTGTACAGTAGATTACTCAAGTAAGAGTATTGTTACAGGGTACAGTATATTACTCAAGTAAAAGTACTGTTACACTGTACAGTAGATTACTCAAGTAAAAGTACTGTTACACTGTACAGTATATTACTCAAGTAAGAATATTGTTACAGGGTACAGTATATTACTCAAGTAAAAGTACTGTTACACTGTACAGTAGATTACTCAAGTAAAAGTACTGTTATACTGTACAGTAGATTACTCAAGTAAAAGTACTGTTACACAGTACAACATATTACTAAAGTGAAAGTTCTGTCACACTGTAGAATATATTACTCAAGTAAGAATACTGTTACACTGTGCAGTATATTACTAAGTCAAGTCAAATGATGTGAAGTTGTGTGTAGAGTAGAATTTTCTTACAAATGATTTTGTACTCCTCACCTCTGTAAACTACTGCAAGAGTAGTTGTTACATCCACATAAATGTCCGTTAGTTCACTTTTTTAGGATTACAAAGCATAACACATGTATTTGTAAAATAAAATAAATAAATAAATGAATGAATGAATGAAGTAAGTGCACAGGTATGTAATGTGTAATTGTGTTTGTGTGCGCAGGGCTACAGCACGCCGTACCCTGGGATGGTTCGCTCCAACAGCTCCGTCTGCTCTGACGGACACGGAGACAAGATCCTCAACGACGACAACGAGTCCGTCAGCTCCCTCATCCCGGCCTATCTCAACTCTCTGCAGAAACTCATGATCGACTAGAGACACCGGCCTATCCCTACTCTCTACAGACACCAGCCTATCTCTACTCTCTACAGACACCAGCCTATCCCTACTCTCTACAGACACCAGCCTATCCCTACTCTCTACAGACACCAGCCTATCCCTACTCTCTACAGACACCAGCCTATCCCTACTCTCTACAGACACCAGCCTATCCCTACTCTCTACAGACACCAGCCTATCCCTACTCTCTACAGACACCAGCCTATCCCCTACTCTCTACAGACACCAGCCTATCCCTACTCTCTACAGACACCAGCCTATCTCTACTCTCTACAGACACCAGCCTATCCCTACTCTCTACAGACACCAGCCTGTCCCAACTCTCTACAGACACCAGCCTATCTCTACTCTCTACAGACACCAGCCTATCCCTACTCTCTACAGACACCAGCCTATCTCTACTCTCTACAGACACCAGCCTATCCCTACTCTCTACAGACACCAGCCTATCCCTACTCTCTACAGACACCAGCCTATCTCTACTCTCTACAGACACCAGCCTATCCCTACTCTCTACAGACACCAGCCTATCCCTACTCTCTACAGACACCAGCCTATCCTACTCTCTACAGACACCAGCCTATCCCTACTCTCTACAGACACCAGCCTATCTCTACTCTCTACAGACACCAGCCTATCCCTACTCTCTACAGACACACCAGCCTATCTCTACTCTCTACAGACACCAGCCTATCTCTACTCTCTACAGACACCAGCCTATCTCTACTCTCTACAGACACCCAGCCTATCTCTACTCTCTACAGACACCAGCCTGTCCCAACTCTCTACAGACACCAGCCTATCCCTACTCTCTACAGACACCAGCCTATCTCTACTCTCTACAGACACCAGCCTATCTCTACTCTCTACAGACACCAGCCTATCTCCAACTCTCTACAGACACCAGCCTATCTCTACTCTCTACAGACACCAGCCTATCTCTACTCTCTACAGACACCAGCCTATCTCTACTCTCTACAGACACCAGCCTATCTCTCTACTCTCTACAGACACCAGCCTATCTCTACTCTCTACAGACACCAGCCTATCTCTACTCTCTACAGACACCAGCCTATCTCTACTCTCTACAGACACCAGCCTATCTCTACTCTCTACAGACACCAGCCTATCTCTACTCTCTACAGACACCAGCCTATCTCTACTCTCTACAGACACCAGCCTATCTCTACTCTCTACAGACACCAGCCTATCTCTCTACTCTCTACAGACACCAGCCTATCTCTACTCTCTACAGACACCAGCCTATCTCTCTACTCTCTACAGACACCAGCCTATCTCTACTCTCTACAGACACCAGCCTATCCCTACTCTCTACAGACACCAGCCTATCCCTACTCTCTACAGACACCAGCCTATCTCTACTCTCTAGATCAGGGGTGCTCAATACATCGGTCGCGATCTACCAGTCGATCACGATCTGCTAGTCGATCGTCAAGGTCGTGTGGGTAGATCTCTGTGTCTCGTCTCAGACTCGATCTTGTTTGGACTCGGTCTTGTCTCTCACTCAAGGTCTGACACTCAACAAGTGTGATCATATTTCATTCCGGCCGCTGCTGTTGGTAATAAACTTGTAGCGGGTGCAGGAGCGCGTGTGGGTCGTCTCAGTGCAGCCTGTGCGCTCATTTGAAACCCGCGGAGACTCTACGTCACAAACACACACGCTCCCTACGCACGGCTCGTCTGCAACAGCGTGTGCCCTCGTGTACCAGCGTGCATCACAGGGCAGGTTCAACTTCCTAAACATCCTACCTGTCCACCTGCCTCACGTCAGCACGCCGCCCCTCGCCTTTTCACGCTCTCGCTCCTTCCTGCGTACAGCGAACACAAGCCCCTCCCACAGTGCGGCTGATTAGAAGAGCAAGACCAAACGTGAAGCAAAAACCAGTCTAAATTTGTGTTCCAGTGTTGGGCACAAAGCAGGTCTACAGCATAGAGCGGATCTACAGAACAGACCTACTGTCACATTTGGCTGAAGTTTGTCTAACAAAATGTTCGTTTGGTTTGTTAAATGTGTAGAGGCTGATAAATATCACTGCAAAACGAGAAAAGAATGCAACTCCAGTTTGGAACTTTAAAAAACAGGTTTAAAAATCTTCCTTCACTTTTTTCACAGTTTTGTGTAAAGTGCCAGAGGAAGTTCTCTGAAAGAAGGGGTTCTCAAACTGTGGGTGAGGGTCCAAAAAAGGGACACAGAGTGTTTCAGTGCAGTTTGATTGGCTTTGTATTAGGTAGATCATTTTGACTTGGTCATTTTGTAAGTAGCTTGCATGATGAAAAAAGTGTGAGCACCTCTGATCTAGAGACACCAGCCGATCTCAACTCTGCAAAAACATGTGATCGACTAGGAGACACCAGCCTATCTCAACTTTCTGGAGATATGGCCTATCTCAGCCCTCTGTAAACTTAAAGTCCTTGTGCCCCCCCCTGTGTTTTTTCCCCACATAATTGAGCAGATTGTGTCTTGCCCGAGCACAGATAAAATGTATAATCCTAAACAGTTTTATTGTTCGATAATCAGGAAGTGTACTGTTAGCATGCTGGCTGTTGTTAGTATTACAGTGATGATAAAACTTCGCTCTTGTTTCTGAAAGTTGTGGAAAGTGTGCTTTTTATGTTGTTTTTTTTTAAAGTTCGTTAAATCAGGAACAGCGTCTTTAAAGTTGACTAGAGACGCCTCACTGTAAACTTGAGATCGACTGGAGGCATCCGGCCGATTTCAACACAATCTAATAACTCTCCAGTATCCTTTTTGAAAGTGTCCTACTTTAATACCACTTTGTAATGCTCTGTTTGTGAAATGAACCTGTATTTGATGAGCAAATGTGTACTCTCATGGTTTTATAGGACTCATGTCACTGCCTGATCTCTTTATTTTGAGGTCAAGTCCAGGTTAGTGAATGAATGTCTCTCTGTTCATCTCCATTTTGTGAAATATTAAATTTGTATCAAAACAACAGATTGGAATTGGCTGTTACTGCATTATATATAGGAATGTCAAAGTTATTAAAAAATCTATAACAGAACAAGTAGAAGAGCACATAGACTAGTATACACACATGGACACTATGAACCTACTGGACCATGGAGGATTACACACATATAAGACACATGGGAATAGAAAAGAGAGTACTACAATTTAATGCTGAAAATCACATTCTACTGTCTAACTCAGGGGTGTCGAACTCATTTTGGTCCGGGGGCCATATCCAACCTACTTTAATCCCAAAGGGGCCAGATTAGAAAACTCATGGCATATATATCCTAAAAATAACAATAAGTTCAAATATTTGTGCAGAGAAACACAAATCTATTATAGAAATCTTTTGTTAATTGATGAACTCTTTCTTAGTCCATTTTTCTTGGAAAATCCTGCATTCTTTTCTCATGTTGGACATTTTTCTGATGAGGGTGTCACGGTTAACAGTCAAAACGATCGTCCTTTAAGAGCGTTTGGAAAGAGACAAGTCTTCATTTGTGCTGCTGTGGTGGGAGGGGCCACGTACAGAGGCGCTGGAGACACTGCTGTGATAAACACCACAGACAATTACCAAGATTTTAATAGAAAATATAATTAAAATATTTTAGTAGAAAATCAGCCGAGGGCCAGGTTAAAGGTCTTGGAAGGCCAGATCCGGCCCCCAGGCCGTACGTTTGACACCCCTGGTCTATATAAAGAGTGTTTCTTTGCATCTTGGTATTGGAATCAGTATAGAGTATTGAGTCTATTCCTTGATAACACTGATTAATAACACTGAAGGTACAGTATGTGACATTTCATATGGCGGGTCTGTCGCCTGCTTATCTCCATGGAGATGGTAGAACTTGAAATGCCACAATATGGCATTAACAGTGTCTGTCTTGCATTTAGTCCATCACAGGTGAGTCTATTTCTCAAAAAATACCTTTACAAACATGACTGTGAGAGGGCTCACCTCTCCATAGATCTCACCTCTGGTCACACATTAGAAGAGTGGCCAAACATTTTACTCATGTAAGAGTAACACTACTTCAGAATAATATTTAACTCACTTAGAACTACAAAGTACTGCTCCAAAAAATTACTAAAGAAAACCAATACTACTACTCAAATAAGAGTAAGTACAAGAGAAACTGTCGGGACATAAGACCATATTTAAAATGTTAGAAAGTAAATTCTGAAAGTTCTGAGTTTCTACGTGTATTTCTTTTGCACAAACATTATGATATTAGGAGAAGCACATGTTGTTTCAAGTGTTATTGTAAAACATGCTCATTTTCATCATCACATGTGCAGACATTATTCATTTTGAGTGTCGGGACAAAACAGGATCTCTGTAAAACAGTATTATTAAACAGTATTATTATATTAAAATAAAGCCTATGGTAAACTTTTGAAAAATACGTTTTTTCAAAATTCAGGTTGATGCACTGAATGCAGCTCTGCACACAGTCTGCTCACTTTACACTTCTTCATATTTAAGACCAGTGCAATAGTTTTATTTGGGTGCCTCGTGTGAACTCATGTAAACGATAAATCTAAGTGTGACTTCATCTTTGATTTGAACGGTTTTTTCAGTGCACATACTGTCCAGATGATGGCGCCAGAGAGCCTGTGTTCTCTGTCACGTCCTCTGTCAGTGAATAAAGACTGTGCGCTCGGAGAGTCTAGTCATCTTTTGGTTCAACTGACTCAGAGGTAAACATGTCTGGCAGAGGAAAGGGAGGTAAAGGTCTGGGGAAAGGAGGCGCCAAGCGTCACCGTAAAGTTCTCCGTGATAACATCCAGGGCATCACCAAGCCCGCTATCCGCCGTCTGGCTCGTCGCGGCGGTGTCAAGCGTATCTCCGGTCTGATCTACGAGGAGACTCGCGGTGTGCTCAAGGTTTTCCTGGAGAACGTGATCCGTGACGCCGTCACGTACACCGAGCACGCCAAGAGGAAGACCGTGACCGCCATGGACGTGGTGTACGCCCTGAAGAGACAGGGCCGCACTCTGTACGGCTTCGGAGGTTAAACTCTACTTCTCCTGGTGACACACAACGGCCCTTTTCAGGGCCACACACATTTTCAAGAGCTCCTCTCTTAGAAAGCAAACTAATTAATATAGCTTACAAAAATAAATACATTTGCGTACATCTTCATGAATGTCATGATGCCGTATTCAAAGTCAGTTGTACTTATTTAGAATATTCGATATTCCCATTTGTTTTTCTCTTACACTTTCCTGAGCACAGTATATTAAGTGTAAAATTCAAGGTATGTGAGAAGTGCTCAGCGCGCTCACAGCTCTGCAGTGTGGTTATATTGTGCCATTAACTACATTGTAACCAAACTACGCATGAATGAATCATCCTGCGGAAAACACATGTCAACTTCAATTACAAGTATGGTTTACCTTGCAAAACAAATGCGCCTCAGACAGTGTAAACAATGTGAAATCTAAAGAATGATTTTTTGCAGAAAACTCGCGCTTCATTGCGCGTAAATCAACTGTCCTGCTCCTTTTGAGACGTGATCTTGACACACGCTTTATTGGGAAGCGCTCACGTGCTTCACGTTTATAGAAAGGTTAAAAACGTCATCTCTAGGCTATTCAAAATGGGCTGGGGGCTCTTTTGTCCGTTTCCCTCCTAAAATCACTGAAGACCGTACAGCCCCTCCCATAAACCCCCTGCACACCCCGCGCGCGTTCGGGCTTCACCAATCAGAGCGCAGCGAGGTCCAGATAAAAGCAGCGGCCGCCGCGCTCCCGTCTTCTCAGTGTCCTGATCCCGATCAGAAACATGCCTGAACCCGCCAAGTCCGCGCCCAAGAAGGGCTCCAAGAAAGCCGTGACCAAGACCGCCGGGAAAGGCGGCAAGAAGAAGAGAAAGACCAGGAAGGAGAGCTACGCCATCTACGTGTACAAGGTGCTCAAGCAGGTCCACCCCGACACCGGCATCTCCTCCAAGGCCATGAGCATCATGAACTCTTTCGTCAACGACATCTTTGAGCGCATCGGCGGGAGAGGCCTCCCGCCTGGCGCACTACAACAAGCGCTCCACCATCACCTCCAGGGAGATCCAGACCGCCGTGCGTCTCCTGCTGCCCGGAGAGCTGGCCAAGCACGCCGTGTCCGAGGGCACCAAGGCCGTCACCAAGTACACCAGCTCCAAGTAAACTGCTCCAACACAATATACACACACAACGGCTCTTTTTAAGAGCCACACATTCTACTAAAGAGCTCCTCTGTTCTGTCTGTGTTCATGTCTTTAACTCTCCCTGAAGTCCTGTGTGCTTCTGGACATGTATGTTAGATAACTTTTTGTGGTGGAGCGTCTGACTCGTCTCCGTGTCATAGTCATTTTTTGGACAAACTAGAAAAGAAAAATAATTCTGAATCATGTAGAGCGGGTTCATATAAACATTTTATGACTAAAATGTCGAGATTCGCAGCAGTAGGTACAGAGAGGAGCCACAAGATCCTAAAGTCAGTCAGTCAGAAGGAGCTGGAAGAGCCTCCTGGAGAACTTCCTGTTTGGCACACGGCGGCTACAGCGTTAGATCTGTCCACTCATATATACAGTCTATGTACATATATACAGTCTATGGTTGCATGCATGAAAATGATGATGTATAGAAAATGTCCAATAAAAAGGTTGAGTAATCATATTGTGTCTAAATGTGTTTGTTGACATCCAACACACATATTTAATGTTAGCTACTTTTAAACTCTTTGAGTTATCTGACCAACTGTATGTGATGTTTATAGTTTGTTTTACCCATATTGTTTAAGTATTTCAACAGGATAATTAAAAAAAACATGTTTTTGGAGGAACATGGAGTATTACATGCAAATGTCACAATGAAAATTGCAAGAAAACAACCAAACCGGGTCATTTTTGACCAACTTATGCATCTAAGGGTTAATGTGGGTAGGTCTTACAGGTTTGTAACTAGCACCATTTGATTCCCTGACCCTGAAAATGTGGGTTTAGCAGTTAAAATCAACATTTCAACTTATTCAGAGGCTGAGATATTCCAAAAAGTGATTTTTGGCGGCCATTTTTTAAAAATCCAATATGGCCACCATAAAGACATGTGGGCAAATACAAACATTGATTTTCTGACTCCATAAACTATAACCTTTCCAAAAATATATAGGTTAGCAAATCCCCAAAAAATTCCCACTAAGGTCAAAAAATGAGAATAAGGAACTGGACTAATAATGGCAGTGTGTCAATGGACAATATGTAGCCTGTTGTCAGGATCACACTATTTCTACAGCAAATATGGCATCACAGCCTTTTTCAGCAGGTTTAACTATGGAAAAAAAACAACCTGTAGGCTCCTGTCCCAGGGTAGTTTACAACCCAAGAAGGGTTAAAGATTAAAACAGGGTATTCTACCATTTAATATAATAATAATAATTAAAAAAAGCAGGAGCACAGAGGGCCTGAAGTCTGTAAACTTCATGTAGGACCTGATGTAGGACCTCATGTAGACTCTTGTGTGGGCCTATGGAGTGTGATGTGTGGTCAAAAGCGTATTTCATCTGGAACTGATCACAAAGTGAAATCACAAGCACTTTTGTTTAGTTTCATGATCTCATTTCACTTTGCTGCTGCAGTGAATGATTATTTTAATGTTTTATTATTTAGTCCTCGATTTGAAAAGTCAGTGTAATACTGATGAAAATCCAGTAACAAGACATGGATTTATTAATGCAGTTGTCTCTGTTATAAAAGCTCTTTTCATTGAGTCTGTATAATAATTATTCATATAATTAATATAATATAATAATAATGATGATGATGATTGGTAATTGTCCCTTTAGTCGGTGGATGTTTGCAGTTTCACTTCACATAGTGTTAGTCCCACATGAGGCTCCTGTTCAAGTCAGAGCTCCTCCTCTTGTCTGAACGCGGCCGCTCATTGGTGCGGCGCTGAAACGCACGCGCTCCCGCACATAAATACGCTGCGCTCTGTCTGTGTAGGTTCATTCTCTCACCACTTCACTGAGTCAAAGTGTAATCATGAGCGGAAGAGGCAAAACCGGAGGAAAGGCCCGCGCCAAGGCCAAGTCCCGCTCCTCCAGGGCCGGGCTGCAGTTCCCAGTGGGCCGTGTGCACAGGCTGCTCCGTAAAGGCAACTACGCGGAGCGCGTCGGCGCCGGAGCTCCCGTGTACCTGGCGGCCGTGCTCGAGTATCTGACCGCTGAGATCCTGGAGCTGGCGGGAAACGCGGCTCGTGACAACAAGAAAACCCGCATCATCCCCCGCCACCTGCAGCTGGCCGTCCGCAACGACGAGGAGCTCAACAAACTGCTGGGAGGAGTGACCATCGCTCAGGGAGGCGTGCTGCCCAACATCCAGGCTGTGCTGCTTCCCAAGAAGACCGAGAAGGCCAAGTAAAGACGCCCCGAGACTCGACTCACAACAACGGCTCTTTTAAGAGCCACAAAACTCTCAGAAAAGAGCACACTTTATAATTGTTTCAGACCATGGCAAATAACCATATGGGAACGGATTCAAAACCATGTACACTTGTCTTACATCAAAGTAACATGAGTGTTTTCTCGTGGTGGGAGAGGGCACTGGCTCTGTTTATGAACTCTACCTCATTCACTTTGAATGCATTCTAAAAAATTACACGTACAAAAGTTGCTGTTCTGACGCTGGCCAAAATCCGCGTGCAGTGTGGTCCGATCCAACAGCAGCGACTCCGCGCATATTTTAGACCCAATCTAAGGCTGCAGCTCAAAGTCCACACCGTTCACACAGGAGGGAGCCACAGTTCAGAGGAACGTGAGGACCGTGTGCGTGTGCGTGTGTCCTACTGCTTCATTTCCTGCCGTGGAGCGAAAGCCTCGCCCCCTCCACATCCGTCCTGCTCAGCTTCTCTTACTCACTTCAAAACCACTAGCTCCAATAGAAAGCGTTTCTGATGCGTCTCTGTGGGCGGCGCTCTGCGTCAGAGTATGACGCAGACCAATCACAGAGCCCGAGGCAGTGTGCGCGTGAGGCTGACCGTTTAAAAACGGCTCGTGTGCCGCTTTTCTGCACTTCCTTTTCTCTGTTCGTAGAAAGGACACTAAAAACATGGCCAGAACCAAGCAGACCGCGCGTAAATCCACCGGAGGCAAAGCCCCCAGGAAGCAGCTGGCCACAAAGGCCGCGCGTAAGAGCGCCCCGGCCACCGGAGGCGTCAAGAAGCCTCACCGTTACAGGCCCGGGACCGTGGCTCTGAGGGAGATCCGCCGTTACCAGAAATCCACCGAGCTGCTCATCCGCAAGCTGCCCTTCCAGCGCCTGGTCAGGGAGATCGCCCAGGACTTCAAGACCGACCTGCGCTTCCAGAGCTCCGCCGTCATGGCTCTGCAGGAGGCCAGTGAGGCCTATCTGGTGGGACTGTTCGAGGATACCAACCTGTGCGCCATCCACGCCAAGAGGGTCACCATCATGCCCAAAGACATCCAGCTGGCCCGGCGTATCCGCGGAGAGAGGGCTTAAAGCGTCTGCTTTGACCCCACAACACAACGGCTCTTTTAAGAGCCACCACACGTGAGAAAGAGCCGCTTTTTTGTACATGTTGTGACAGAGCGTAGCACAACCAACAAAATCCTAGGGTTTAGTCACACACACTGTAGGGCTGGTGAGGATACTGTTACGTTATACTTTCTGAAGAAAAAGTAGACTTCACTTTTTCATAAGGCGTAACCTCAGTAAACCGTGGCAGCCATTTCAGCACTCCGGTGAGCGACTTCCCCTGACGCAGAGGCTCTTGAACACGAGGCATCGATGTGGGACTGTCAGTTTTCCTGCCTTGACTTGAGTTTAGAACACTAAATAACAGAAAATAAGATTCCTATTATAAGTGTTTGAAATTGTATATTTATAAGCGCCATTGTGATGACTTATGGTGTAGGCAGCTGTTAATTTGAAAACTTCCACTAGGTGGAACAGCATTTTTAGCTTTTGGAGATGTAGACAGTTACTCAAATGAATGAAATGAATCAATGGAAAAAAACAAACTTTTGTGTTAAGAGGATTTTTGAAAAATCCGTCTTAGGTAAAAACAGTTATTTTAGAAATAACTTCATCAGCAATTGTTCGTATATAATATATATGTTTTAGGGTCTAAATGTGTTTCAAATAACAATGCCATTTTCTTAAAGGTAGTGTGCAGGACGCTCTGTATTTTAGAGCAATTATGCTGAAACTCTACATTTGACTTTAAAGAGCTCTGTAGTAGAGCGCTCAATGAGTTATATACATGTCCAGAAGCACACAGGACTTCAGGGAGAGTTAAAGACATGAACACAGACAGAACAGAGGAGCTCTTTAGTAGAATGTGTGGCTCTTAAAAAGAGCCGTTGTGTGTGTATATTGTGTTGGAGCAGTTTACTTGGAGCTGGTGTACTTGGTGACGGCCTTGGTGCCCTCGGACACGGCGTGCTTGGCCAGCTCTCCGGGCAGCAGGAGACGCACGGCGGTCTGGATCTCCCTGGAGGTGATGGTGGAGCGCTTGTTGTAGTGCGCCAGGCGGGAGGCCTCCCCGCCGATGCGCTCAAAGATGTCGTTGACGAAAGAGTTCATGATGCTCATGGCCTTGGAGGAGATGCCGGTGTCGGGGTGGACCTGCTTGAGCACCTTGTACACGTAGATGGCGTAGCTCTCCTTCCTGGTCTTTCTCTTCTTCTTGCCGCCTTTCCCGGCGGTCTTGGTCACGGCTTTCTTGGAGCCCTTCTTGGGCGCGGACTTGGCGGGTTCAGGCATGTTTCTGATCGGGATCAGGACACTGAGAAGACGGGAGCGCGGCCGCTGCTTTTATCTGGACCTCGCTGCGCTCTGATTGGTGAAGCCCGAACGCGCGCGGGGTGTGCAGGGGGGTTTATGGGAGGGGCTGTACGGTCTTCAGTGATTTTAGGAGGGAAACGGACAAAAGAGCCCCCAGCCCATTTTGAATAGCCTAGAGATGACGTTTTTAACCTTTCTATAAACGTGAAGCACGTGAGCGCTTCCCAATAAAGCGTGTGTCAAGATCACGTCTCAAAAGGAGCAGGACAGTTGATTTACGCGCAATGAAGCGCGAGTTTTCTGCAAAAAATCATTCTTTAGATTTCACATTGTTTACACTGTCTGAGGCGCATTTGTTTTGCAAGGTAAACCATACTTGTAATTGAAGTTGACATGTGTTTTCCGCAGGATGATTCATTCATGCGTAGTTTGGTTACAATGTAGTTAATGGCACAATATAACCACACTGCAGAGCTGTGAGCGCGCTGAGCACTTCTCACATACCTTGAATTTTACACTTAATATACTGTGCTCAGGAAAGTGTAAGAGAAAAACAAATGGGAATATCGAATATTCTAAATAAGTACAACTGACTTTGAATACGGCATCATGACATTCATGAAGATGTACGCAAATGTATTTATTTTTGTAAGCTATATTAATTAGTTTGCTTTCTAAGAGAGGAGCTCTTGAAAATGTGTGTGTGGCCCTGAAAAGGGCCGTTGTGTGTCATCAGGAGAAGTAGAGTTTAACCTCCGAAGCCGTACAGAGTGCGGCCCTGTCTCTTCAGGGCGTACACCACGTCCATGGCGGTCACGGTCTTCCTCTTGGCGTGCTCGGTGTACGTGACGTGACGGCGTCACGGATCACGTTCTCCAGGAAAACCTTGAGCACACCGCGAGTCTCCTCGTAGATCAGACCGGAGATACGCTTGACACCGCCGCGACGAGCCAGACGGCGGATAGCGGGCTTGGTGATGCCCTGGATGTTATCACGGAGAACTT